ATCAACGGTGTGCGTGTGGGTTTTTTGTTGTGTTTTTTTTTTTTTTTAATTACTGGATGTTGAAACAGAACACCTCCTAGAAGCATTCATGTGCATCAGTCTATCAAACCATTTACTCAAATTAAATGTGTAATCCTTCAAATGCCTCCTTTCAAATTAATGAGTTTAAGTAGCTTGAGTTCACCTGAAAAGATCCTATAGGCACCTGACCTCCTGAATTCTTTCCATTAATTGCACTGAAACTTGTTGGAAAAGACTTACACAGGCATATGAATGTTCCTATACATTGCTTTAAAATGCAAGATTAGTATAATTCTATAGCCTCTTTTCCTAAATCTCTTTTGGGGATCAAGAGTAGTGATACAAACAACAACAACAACAACCCAAAATCAGAACATTCCTCAACTGAAAAACCTGCAAATTCTACATCACAAACCACACACTAACACTGAGCATTACAAGCCTCCAAGTAACAGTCTACAAAGAAAAACACTACCACTGACGGTTTTTTTGTTTTGTTGGGGGGGGGAGAGGGAGGGAGTTTACTATGAGAAGAATTACAAGTTTTTAAACTGATGGGTAATCAGCATTTTTCACAAGGAGCACAAAGAATGAGTCACAGTTTTCCACTCAAAAAAGTTTAAAAGAGCTTATGTAAATATAATTAGCCATCACCATAGGCAAATCATTTCTAACTACACTTATTTCTAAGGCAATCTTTTGTCTCTGAGTTTCTACGTAGGTCCCTACCTTTCTTTAAGGTAGCAGCCTAACTCCCACTTTTCAGCCAAGGGTCCAGTTGGAGCAGACCACTTAAAATTCTGGTCAGGAGAGTGCCCAACCTTTACACACCTAACGGCCCAGTCCCACCAGATGGACAAGAGTTTTTACTTAGTACGGCTTCTGCCGTCAATTTATTATTAAAACCTGAAAGATTAACAAATGCTCCTCGAACCTCTTAAATCAGACCAACCAGGTTTTTGAGGTGAAGGTTACACCGTATTCTCACAGGTACCCTGTTTCTTTCCTTAAAACCCTTGGTAACCTTTGGCCTTGCCATTGCTCTGCTCACCATCTCAAGGGAAGCAGCCAAGTCTTACCTAATGTAGTCATTTCTGCAAAGGATCATGCCGCTCTTGGTGTAACAGGACGTGCCGATGTCGCCCAGCTGCGCCTGGCAGCAGGAGCACTTGAGGCACCGGCTGTGCCAGTAGCTGTCCATGGCATAGAGCAGAAAGCGGTCCGCAATCTTGCCCCCACAGCCTGCGCACCGCTTCCAGGAGAGGGAGCCGGCCGTCACGGGGGGCGGCTGTGAGCTGCTGCCCGGATTCACCATGGTCTGCAGAGGGCGGGAAGGGGACAGGGAGAGAGAGACAAAACAGGGGCGATGCAAAAGTTAGTGGTAATCGCCGCGCGAGAGAACGAAGCCGTGCCCCCCCTCCCCCGCCCCCAGAGCCGCTGGAAGGAAGCAGCAAGGCAACGGCGCGCAGGAGGGTGAGGGGGAGAGGGAAGGAGGGAGGATAGCCGGCAGCAGCCGCCTGTTTACTTTTCTCAAGCTTTGTTCTGGGGCCACGAGCTCCTCTCAACTTTCCAGCGCTCGCCGCCGCTGACAATTTCAGCTTGGGTACTGTCAAAACTCCGAGAGCGAGGCTCGGCGGCGCGCTCCACCCCTCGCGGCGCCTCCTCCCAGCCCCCGCCTCCGCCCACTGCCCCCTCCTCCCTCCTTCGCCGCCCGCCTCCAGCAAATGAGGGTCAAACCCACCCACCGCCGCGCCGGGCCCCTCCCCGGCCCCCGCCGAGCCCCGAGAGCGAGCCGAGGGGAGCGGGGAGGCGGCCCCCGCCGGAGCCACGTTCCCTCCCGAGCTCTGCCCTGGGAAGTGCAGCTGCAGTTCACAAGTTGGAAATAGTTCGGTTTTCTGAAAGGGAGGGAGGGAGAAACCGGCAGAGGGGAAGAGGGAGAGCGTGGTGGTGGGAGGGGAGGCGAGGGGACGCGAGGGAGGGGGTGCGGTGTGTAAAGTTGCGAAACTGGTTTTTCGTATTTTAAACAGCACCTTTCACATGCCATTGTGGTGACCGCCATCTCCCATTATTGTTCCAAATCTCATTTCATTTTGAAGATCAATGAGTGTTTTCTCTGGGTTTTCAGGACACAGGCAAGAATAATAGATCATTGAACTTTAGGATGCCTGTTAACTTCCTATACAAACACTCTCCACTTTGGTCTCACTAATCTGCCCTTGATCAGCAATTTAAATGCTAAAGCTTTGTTCCTCCAAAGGGGGGGGGGGCGTTACAGATAATATGCGAGAAGGCACTATTAAAGGATGCACAAGTTATATTCGAGCCAGTCCTGCTGTCACCAAAAACTGCTTTTAAAAATTCCCCACTCTTTCTAATGAATGTCACGAGAGGCAACTGGGGTATAATATAGGAATCAATTTATAAAGCTTAGCCTAAACCGATTAATTTGTTGCCTCCAATCCTGACTCCAATAAAGTCCTAGTGTTCCTCCAGTCACTTATTCTATAAAAAGATCAAGTTATTTACTGCCAATTAAGCAGCCTGTTTTGTCTTTGTCCTCTGTAAGCCGAGAGTGTAGGCTCCCCCCGAGGCTCCCGGCTATCTGCTCAAGACATTCAGCTGATACCTCAGAAGGGAGAGGGCGAACTTTGCCTGTCCCCGGCCCAACTTGGCTGCTGCAAAAAAACCAGGGGAAGGGAACGAAACAAGGACTCGGGTTCCTTAAATAGGCCGATTTTAAACACATTTCCTCCGAAAGAGTCCCGGAACGTGTGTCCAGTGACCGCACAATAAACCAGAATAAGAACTGCACCAATTAAGCTGTAACAAAACCCTGAGACTTTGGAAACAGGACCACTCTAAAACCCATTAGCATTGCATTTATCCGAATGCATCATACCTTTATGTAAATTGATTTATCTGATGCATTTACTCGAGGAATTGCTTTTTGTTACAATTTCAGCCCTAACCCAAATGAATCTGCATTTCCTGCCCGAGGTCTTTAAACCGTTCCCCCCAACGTTTTAATCGCTCCGAATTCCTTTTTAAAAGGGGAGGGAGGGAGGAGATTCCAAGCTCTTCCCCGCCCCCATCTTTGGTGAGAGGTAAATATATATGTATATTTTTTTTGAAAAGGAAACATTACACTGAGAAAAGCATCCAGTAACCCCATTAGCTAAAGCTCTTAAGGACAAGCAATACCTTAATGCTGATTAAATCTAAAAGAGATGAATCAAGAGGACTGACCAGAAACTGACTCCCCTGATAACTAAGGACGGGCCCTCATCAAGTTTCATTTAGAGTTGGAAAAAAAAGAAAGCTTTTAAGTTAAATAGGCTTATACTCTAGTAATTACATAGCCAAGCAATTTAGGTCCTGGGATAGTCAGTGAAATAGAAAGCAGAACTGGCAGCTAGAGGCAAAATCTGCCCCTCTTTAACAACGTCTCTGGTGTTTTTTAATGGAGACCAGGGGAGGGACAAACGTAGCGCTGGCAATTTGTAGTACAAAAATGGATGCTTAATTCATGTCTTGATTTTAATTAGGTGATTCACCGGATTTCTCCTGGATTGGAACAAAAGACTTATAAGCCAAGAGGAATTTTTGAAAAGAACCAGCAATACTGAATCCTGCTCACTTAGGTCCTTTCTGCCACTGTTTCAAAAATAGTGTTTACTGGGGGGGTGGGGGGGGTCGTGACTATTTCCCCCACATTACTTCTCATACTTAAACCCTCATTTAAGCACCTCCTGCCTCTCCCTTAGGAACTGAAAATATCCCCACCCCCCTCCAAGGTCCCCACCAGCCCCGTCTCCAAGAAGAACCCTTTTGTAAGCAGGAACCGCTACAAAGCTGGCTGCCCGGGGCTGGCTGCCCTCCGTGCTAGCTCGCAGGCCGGCCTCGGTAGTTTCAGACTCGCGCATTATCTAAGCCGACGTATTGTTTACTTGCAATTTGGGACGGTCAAGGGAAGGAAGCCAAAGAAAACAGCCCGGGCCCAAATCGGCCCCCTCCTCCCTCTCCCCCCTCCTTGCCCGCGGCTCCCCAGCCGTCCCCTTACCTGCTTTTCCCCTATATTGCAATATTGCGAGAGGCGGCGGCGGCGAAAAGCGAGCGAAGCCGCTCGGCTTCCAAGGAAGGGGCGCCTTGGCTGGCGGAGCTGGAGGGAGGGGGGGGGGGAATGTTCTCGCAGAAGCAGGAAAGGGGAGGAGGGGGCTAAGGGCTGCTTTTTTTTTTTTTTTTTAACGCGTTGCTCTGAGGCTGGGTTGGGGGGCCCCGCGTAAGTGGCAGGCGGCCGAGAGCAGGAGTGTCAGTCTCAGTCCTCGGCGTTCTCCTCCGCCTCCGGCTCCGCGCGAGCAGCTGCAGGAGCCCTCGGCCCGCGCGGCGCGGCTTCAAGCGCGGCGCAGCGGCAGCAACTGCTGCAATCGCTGCTGCAAGTTTGGCAATGTGGCTTCACTTTGTATATTCCCCCGCCCGGCGGCCCCCGCCCCCGCCCGCGCGCCTCCCGCTCCTCCTCCTCCACCGCCTTCCTCCCTCCCGCGCGCTCGCTCGTTCGCTCGGGGCTGGCGGCGGCGGCGGCGGCGGTCGCTCGGCCGAGCTTCCTGCCCCTGCAGCCGGGGAGCAGCCGCAGAAACAACAGCCCCGGAGCGGCGGCGGCAGCGGGTGCGGAGGCCGGGGGGCGGGCGCACCCGGGAGCCGGGGAGCTGCGGCCGGCCGGGGCCCGGCGCGCTGGAGCCTGCGCCGCTGCCCGGGCTGCTGCCGGGGCCGCTGCTGCTGCCCGGCCCGGAGGAGGAGGAGGAGGAGGCGGCGGCGGCGGCGCTGGCCTCTAGCCGGCTCGCTCGCTCCCTCCGCGGCGCTTACACATGTGTTACTGACAGAGCAAAATCCCAACTACTCCCCGGCTCTGCCGCCGACGTCAGCGACCCTCAGCCACTGGGCGGCCGGATTGTTCAGGCGGAATAATAAAACCTGCCAATCCGGGGAAGGACAAAGGGATGACTGAAACGAGACTCTAGGGGCGGGGGAGAGAAGGAGGCGGCGGAGCGGGCCGGGGAAGGAGAAGGGAAGGGCCGCAATCAGGTGGCGAGCGGAGACCCGGGCGCCCGGGCCCCCGTCGGGGCCGTACTCCGCGGCCCGGGCTCGCGAGCCGAGGCGCGGGGCGCCGCTGCTGCTCTCCCAGCGCGCGGACGACCCTGGGGACCCGCGCCCGCCCGCCCCTCGGGGACCGCCCTCCCCTCGCGCCGACGCGAGCCCCTTAGGAAACTTAACTTCGCGTCTTTCCCAGAAATGGGTCTCTTCCTGTTTGGGAAGAAGAGTCTTCCCGAAATCTTAGGGCGGTGGACTTCACGCACACGCAGAAGAGGTTTTGTTTTGGTTTTTTAATTCCCGGCGTTCGAGATTGATGAGCCTTAGTGGAAGTTCAGTTAACAAGGTAAAGACAGAATCGGTAGTTCTTAAATACTGCCCACGTATCCCTATGCTCCCCATGAGCCCGAGTACGAACCAAGAACCTCGTAGGCATTTCATGGATATTGATCAGTTGTTGGTGATGGAAAGATCACAGCCTTTACTTTGGAAGTTGAGGGAAACTTCGGGGAGGAAGTGTTGCCCTCTATCCACCCCACTGTGGAGGATGAGGCCTGATGATTTCTGATAGCCCCCGAAAGCAACAGAAGTAATTGCAACATTCTTAATCTCACAGCCTCTGGGGAGTAAGAAAGGTCACGTCTAGTATATATTTAACTGTTGAGGAATGCTTTTAGGGTGCTAGCCTGAGAGTCTCTTTCCAGGGCCCAAGCTCAGCCTAGATGTTTGAATACCTCGTCATTCAACTTTATCTACTCTGCCAAATAGGTTTAATAAATCTCTGATCTGAGGCTAATATTAGGTCTGATTATTATTAGTAAGTTCCAGAGAGATTTTTCTGGTGGAAATTATCATGAAAGTGCAAAGCCCTTCTGCTAAGTATCATTAAGTAAAACCAGCCTTGTGGGACATGTTTTCATATTGTATTACGTACAGTACTGCTGGATTGAGGAAAGGGACCTGCAGAAGAATCTGGCTAGACAACGCAGTCGTTAAACATCTATGGTTTTAGTGTCTGTTTGGGGGATTTCTGTCTTTCAAACCATCAAAATTCAGGCTGCAAAAGAAACAGTAATCATTGCCTGTAACATCAAGCGAGGACATTTTAAATACCAATTAGAATAGTCATTTCTTTATATTTCTAGCACCTCAAAATTAAACGACTTACTTTTATTGATTGGTATTTAAAATTGCATTTTTATGATCAAGTCACTTTATGCACGTATGAGAAACATTTAAAAAAAATGATTTAAATGTAATAGTAATTAAAATGCCCTGTACAGAAAACAGCTGCAGATGGGTGTGATTAAAGAAGGCCATCTTAAAAAGATGTGATGTTCCTTGAAGATTAGTAAAGAAAACTCAATTAAACCAAATGAGGAAAGGAACCCCATAAACAAATAATGCACACATTTTAATTCCCTGGTTCAGTTTCAATTTGTTAATAATTTATAATAATCAAAACGAGATGACACAAGATCTTAGTGGGATTTTATGAGGGTTTGATTAAGTTATGATTTGTCATGTACGAGTAAATTTCCTGCTGTGGCCCTTAATTTTCTCATCTACAAATGAAGGAATTAAGCCAAATGGTCTTTATCTGTCCTTTTTTCCTAAAATGATTTTCTTAACTAGAACACATAATATATAGGTCTGTAATGAATGGTGGTACTTTAGGCATTTCCTGAAGTATGTGCACTAAAAGGAAATCTTTATTTTAAAATGAAATGTTAGAAATTTAGTCAGACATCGGATATCACTGAGTGATTATCCAAAGCATCCATGTAGTTTTGTGGAAGGAAGGAAGGAGAAAAGCATGGCTGAAATTTTGAATACAGATCTCTAGGCAAGAACAGGCCTAGGAGGTGGTTTCAGTGTTTTGGCTCTAATAGTGCGTGGAGCGTGGTCTTTACACATGTCCCGGTAGATTGGAGTGGGTGGGAGTATGTTACCAGAGAGCTTTATTTGCTGATGTTGTGGTTATAGAAATACAAAAGCGATAATGGCTAACAGTCTCTCTTCTGAGGGGTAAGGAAGTAAATACATTCACTGTAATCAAAATTCAGGTGTACTTTAACCACAGCGCCACCTCTCGGTAGTCTTTATTTCTGCATTCTTTGCATTTGGCAGGGCTCTCTCCTTGGAGTCGCAAGACCTGTGGTCTGAAAGCGCCGGCTTAAGTGAGGTAGCAATGTCAATCCTCTATTTCCACTGATGCTGAACTCACAGAAACTGTGTAAACACACACAAGTTCATTGTGAATGAGGAAAATCTGTGTTCAGGTATTCCTTAAACGAGTATAAAACAGTGCTCAAAGTCATAATCCTGGTATATAGTAAAATTGCCTAAATGCAAAGTGATAATGGTATATTATGCCCGATAGTTCAAGCAAACACTGCTGACATCATACATGCCTCATTTAGCCTACTCACCTACGGCGAAAAATAAGAATACAGGGTTTGGGAAAAGAAAGAGAAAAAGTGTTTCTTTTTTGAATCCTAATTAAATACAGGAACCATACTGATCCTAGATCAAACTCTCATTCCCCAGACTCACCCCAAAATGATTTGTCCATATCTTCCCTTCTTCACATTTAAGTCCTGCAATCATAATCATCTTTCCCTTCTCCCCTTCTCCGAGTGACAGCTCTAGGAATCTCCCACAGACGGCCAGAAGTTCTACACAGACCCACGTTCAGCCTTGCGTGCCTAGAGAACAGCCAGGCTATTCCATGCTGATACGGCAACCTCCCTGACAGAGTGCCCCCCGGATGTTTCTCAAGAAAAAGATAATTTTAGGGGCGCCTGGGTGGCTCAGTTGGTTAAGTGACTGCCTTCGGCTCAGATCATGGTCCCAGGGTCCCGGGATCGAGCCCCAAATCAGACTCCCTACTCCTCGGGGAGCCTGCTTCTCCCTCTCCCCCTCTGCCTGCCACTCCCCCTGCTTGTGCTCTCTCTCTCTCTGTCAAATAAATAAATAAAATCTTTAAAAAAAAAAGAAAAAATATTTTAAACTTTTAAAGTCAATGCAAAACTGTGTTTGAAGGCAGCCTGTTTAGGAAGAAAAAAAAATCTTTTTAAATCTGCCTACCTTTATTGCTGCCATCCCAGAGACCCCTTGAAATCAGAAGGTTCAACCAAGGTGAATCTGAAAAGCTTGAGTCTAGGACAACAATTCCAAAGTGTAAAAGAGGGAATGGAAGGTACTGACAGATGGAACAGGAAAATCCAAGGAGGAGGAATGGCAGTTAGGTCCCTGCCGGTGTTTTATGGTGGTGGTGTTGGCCGGGAGGCACTGCCGAGTAAGTAGAGGCCGAGAGATCGCGGTCTCCTTTAAGCACAAAGGTTTAAGGAGTGCTCAACTTCTCTGAAAGACTACATCTCAAAGAACCATAGCTTGGCTTTAAACACTGATAATAATACTTAAAATTTACTGACTGCCTTTTGTTCATATTTCTCAAAATTTCTTGTAAATATCTCACTAGATGTTTCCTGTGGTAAAGGAATAGGTAGTTGCCATATTAGAACATTCTTTTTCTTTCTTTCTTTTCTTTTTTTTTTAAGCAATCCCAGTGTCTACATTTGGTAAATGTCCCACCAAATTATGTTAATCGGTACTTTGAAAGTTCTATCCTAACCTCTCTTTTGGTAGGGTAATGTCAAAGCATAGCGAAGAAGTTGATTTGATCACAATAAAATAATTAAAAGATCGCGAGGAAAATGAAACAGCATTGATATTGCTGTGATTAGAAATATAATTTAAGATGTAGATTTTGCTTTTAATTATTCTAGTTGATTAGGACATTTGAAACTCCTGGGGATGACGGGAAAGGTGAAAAAAGATGATGGGAAGGAAGAAAATAACATCTGTGTGATACATAATTTTGCCTGATACAGCAAGGCCACTTTTATTAGAGTGGCAAGAAATTACTCACTTTCTTCATATGTGTTTATTAGGGTAGGAACAAGACCTTAAAAATCCCCCAAACCTGCCCCAGAACTACATCAAATTTTGATATATGAATATATTCCATAGTGATGATATCATAGAAAAATTATTTGGCTTACTCACACTACCTATTTCTAGGACTGAATTCTGTCAACATTATTCAAGTGATATTCTGCATGTATCATTGCCGATAAATTATCGGACTGTATATGTGAGTATATTATATGTTTATTAGGGTCTTGTGAATGGTCTAGCTGGTTGACAGGCTATGCTTATTGAAGTCGAATTAAATCTTATAACGGGTAAATTTAATTTTGTAATAGTTACAAAAGAGGGTATGTAGATGACTGGGCCATTTGTGAATATGTGAGGTGGTTATTAGTAAGAATATATATTAAAATTATAAATCCAGTAGAAAATAGCAATTTCATTCAACATTAATTACTGTTCCTCTCCAAGATGATGGAAATGAGCATTTATTGATAGAGAAACTAAAGCATTAAAACATAATTCATTCCCCCTTATGTTCCCACTAACTGTTCTTGGTAAAAGAAAGGCTAATAATTCAGAAGTTTCAAGTGCCCCAAACCATAGCTTCTTTAGTTAGTGTCACTTTTAATTACAGTATTGATATAATCAAGCTTTCTCTCTATGTAGATTTGTAATAAAATATAATATTTTAAAGTATAATACTGGTCTCTGTTTGCTCACAAAAAAAGTTGATGAAAACATGATAATGTTTATTCATCTAATTGTAATGAATGACCCTGGTGGAATTACGCGAGTTCAATCCATAGCTGTCCATAGACTTGAAAAACACATATTTCTACTCTACACAGTGCCATAAATTTTTTAGCATAAAAAGAACAACCAATATGGATTTTTTTTAAATAATAAAATTGGATAACTCAATTGACTAAAATGTGTTCCCTCCACGCAGAGGTACACATTATAAAGTCATCATTTATATTTCTCAACATAAATCAAATTTCATAATAAAATTGTTTTTGATGAATCACCACTTCTTTTCTGGATTCAAAACATTCTGACAGAGAAAGCAAATTTGTCGATTTCTCTGTCTGATAAGAAATCACTGAAAATATATTTAAGACCTTTAGTCTAAGATGATAATTTTTAGAGGAACGTTTCCTTTAAAAGGGAAATATTCAAACAAAGTCTTAGACTTTCTTTCCAGCATTTTTTCAGAGCCATCTGTTGTGTTCACTGACAATAAGGGCAAGAGAAGTCATTACAGAACAATACTCTGGAAACAATTTGCTTCAAAGAAAGAATGAAAACTTAAACAACACTACCTTTCTACATGTTTGTTCTAATTAGAGGGTTAAAACATCCAAGCATTGTACCCAGACGCTTTTCTCTGTCCTGTTTTTATTGCTTTTCTCCACTGAGATAACATTTAACACTGCATTGAAATTCCTACTTACTGCTGTGTCCAGTAGTAAATCCTGGCACATTATTAGAATATCTGCCTGTTATCAGCTCAGTCAGGGAATGAATTATTGACTATAACTCATTGCTGGGAAGACTACGTATGACACTCCAGTGAAGTTTTGATAATTTCTAGAAGTCGTGGTAATTTATGGAAGGGGGTTTTGATTGATCTCCCACCACCTATTTTGCACCTATCAGTAAATAGGACACATATTGATGGCCTACTTGAACCACATTAACAATACAGGGAATTCACAATTTAAGCGTTTCTCTTTTTTTTCCAGTACAATTTCTATTAAGACAGCAACTCCATTTCTATTAATTTTCTTATGTGTGGTTTACCCATGGGAGTGGGGAATCACAGATTTAGACTACTGAATGCATAATATTACTATTCTAGTAATTATTTGGATCTTTTCCGCATTTGTAGTTCTATGCAGCATCTGCCTTTTGGAAAGAAAGCCCTGAGACCATTGGCACAGATGAGGATGGAACAAAATGGGTACTGTGAGATTTTAAAGAATGTCTTCAAGTGTGAGCATACAGCTGATAGAATAAAGGAGAATGTTTAAAATTAACAGACAGTAGGTAAGTTACTTATTCTTTGAAAAAAAATGTAATATATTTGATATAAAACTTACAGACACCATATAATAGGATACAGTGGTCACTTCCAAGTCCATCTGTCAGAACATTAAGTAATAATCACTAACAGTCACAACTTCTGTTTAATTTAGGTTTATTTTCCTCCTCTCTCATTTTTGCTGCATTCTCCAAATTCAATTATTTCTCAGAATAAACTCTACTAGACAAATGGTTCCTTTCTTTCTTTACTGAGTTTTCATCATTGTGATTTCATTATTGTTTTATTTACTACAACAATTGCTTCCTGGAAAAATAACCAGTATTTTCAAGTCCTCAATATATACCATACAATAGAGCAGGCAATATAAATAATAATTCAAAGTTTAATGGTTATTTCTGAGATGACATTTAAAGCATGTCTAGATTTATAGAAATTTCAACTTATACCCAAATAGTATTTAGCAATCTGATACAAAAATAATGGTGTCTTTCTTGCCAGTGCCATCAAGATTGGGGGCAGGTGATTTGACTGAATACTTGGCTTAAAGAAAATAATTCTTTCTTAATTTTATCTTAATTTAGTAGCTTCTAGCAGTCATCTAAACAATCTTAAAATTAAAAGATAATGTTAATGGGAGAGACTGTTGTCATAGGATAATGGTTTCCTGCTGCTAGATTAATGCAGTGGCAATAATACTGGAGCATTTATTGAAAATAAAGGGGAAGACAAAGCCAGGAGATTTATTTTTAAAGCAGGTGTCATGGATCCTATGACACTGTTGTCTTATAATTACTTTGTTTCCATTTTGCCAAATGGCTGATGGAGATGATCCCTTTTCCTGATAGATGTGGGGTGGCAGAATGACATTGGCTGGTATCTCCATGACTGGAGAGTGCATCCTTTCTAAGTGGAGGGACAGATTTGTTGTGCTTCTTCCAATCAAAAAGCACCTTCTAAAGGCTGTGCCATTTAAAGAAACAAACACCAAAATGCACAAATAAATGTGTTCTTTATCCAAAAAAAAAAAAAAAAAGGCAAGCATCTACCTAACACTATTATCATTCATTCTAGAAACGTTAATATGCCCCCGATATTGACAATCCCAAATACATCGCTTTCCAGCAAGCCCCAGGAATGTCCTACAGGACAAAAGCTGTGTGCATGGATTTTAGCCACTGTGATCAACTGTCCTGGACTTATCTTCTTTTAATGCATATGATAATCTTGGGCCAAGTAATAGACTTCTCCAAGTGGAATCCTCACAGAAATGCTGTGGTAGTTGCAACTGTACGATGGTCCCTAAGATTCCCACCCCCTGGTGTACACACCTTGTATAATCCCTTCTCCTTGAGTGTGGGTGGGCCTGGCTTAATCAGTTGAGTCTTTTTAAAAGAAGGTCTAGAAGTCAGAGATGGAAAAAATCAGACAGATACAAAGCTGCAGAAGATGTTCTCCCATTGGCCTGGAAGGAGCAAACTGCTGTATGTGAGAGACATCGCAGAGGGAACATGGTAAGAATGGGAGGGTAGCCTTTAGATGCTGAGAGCATTCCCTGGTGAAGAGCTAGCAAGGAGATAAAGACCTTAGACCTGGAGTTGTAAGGACATGCGTCCTGCCAACAACCAGTGAGCTGGGAAGAGGACTTTGAGCCTCAGAGGAGATGGCAGTCCTGGCTGACACCTTGCTTTCAGCCTGGCCAGACCCTGAACAGAGAACCCAGCTATGCCAGACCCGACCTTCCAGCCCACAGACACTCTGAGATAATAAACGGGTATTGTTTAAAGCCATTTATCATCATTTGTTTTGCAGCAATAGAAAACTAGTGACAAGGCTGTGAGAAAAAGCCAAAGAAGATATTCTGTTGCCACCTCTTTCCCTCTACCATGACTTACTCTGTTTGCTCCTTCTTGTCCAATCCCTCATCTCCACGCCTACCAGAGCCTGGAGCAAAAAGCTGGAGTAGCCTCACTATGATCAGGGTATTTATAAATTATTGTATGTTAAATGCTGGTACCTGCCTTAAAGAAAAAGGAAGCAGGGTAAGAAGGATAGGGAGCAGTGGGCCTGGCTGGAATGGGTCTGGGGATGGATTACACTTTTATGCTAGCGAGACAGGGGAGGTCTCCATGATAATGTTTGTGTCCAGACCTAGAGGAAGTAAAGGAGCCAGGCATCTGAGGGAGAGGGAGTTCCAAGTAGCGGCATCTGCAGTGCAAATGTCCTGGGGAGACGTGCTGTGTACAGCTGAGAAGCTGGAGGGAGGCCCGGTGGCCTGGCTGTAGGAAGAAATGAGATCAGAATGCAGACAGGGGCAGGTGGGGGACTTGGCCTTTCCCCTGGATTGAGAAGGGATGCTGCATGAGGGTCTTGGCAGGAAAGAGATCAAATCTGATTTACATTTTAGAAAGCTCCATCTGGCTTTGGTGTTGAGAACAAACTACAGAGCAGGGAGGCCCAAGTGGTGAGACCACCAGACAGGAGGTTCTTGCAGTAATCAAGCAAGGGATGCTGGCGGCTCGAAGCACAGTGTTAGCAAATGGAAGGTAAAAAAGGACTGGATTTAGGTATATTTTGAGTATCCGTGGCAGATAGAGCCATGGTTTCTATTTCAAAATTTCTGTTGATAGACCATGTGCCTTTGACAGTTCTTTTGGGGTTTTCATGTGTCATGACAGCTGTAAGTTCCCTTCTGCTCCTGAGAAGTTGGGCAGGGCACCCCCCCCCCCCACACACACACACCATGTTCCACCCACATCGGATTCCCCTTCCCACATGCTGAGTTTATGTCAGAGATAGCCACAATATTGTTTTTCACTTGGCTCTGTCCATTTTAACTCAGGAGAAATAACAAATACTGAACCCCTCCTTGTGTGCCAGGCATCAGGCTAGGTTCTTCCCATACAGCAAATCATTTACTCTTATTAACAGCCTGATACAATAGGTCTCATTGCCTCCATTTTAAAACTGAGGAGACTTGGGGCGCCTGGGTGGCTTAGTTGGTTAAACGTCTGCCTTCGGCTCGGATCATGATCCTGGGGTCCTGGGATGGAGGCCCGCATCAGGCTCCCTGCTCCGTGGGAAGCCTGCTTCTCCCTCTGCCTCTGCCCCTCCCCCTGCTTGTGTTTTCTCTCTCTCTGTCAAAATAAATAAAATCTTTAAAAATAATAAAAATAAAATAAAATTGAAGAAACTCAAATCATAATAGTTAAGTGATCGTTCAACATCAGTGTCAAAGCTGTGGTTCAAAACTTGGAATTCTGCAAAGTTTACAGGTTGAAGAAACCTTCCACGGTCCACTCCCATCTGCTAACAAATCAGTATATGGGTTTTGTTTAATAGATTGTGCAACTTTAGTTTCTAAACCCATGATTCTTTCTCCACTGTCGATGATTTTGTTCCCCAGTGGACATTTGGCAATGTCTTTGAGACAATGTCACAACTGGGGGGGGGGGGGCGGGGGGTGCAGAAAATCACTACTGGCTTAAGTGAGTGGAGGCCAGGGATGCTACTAAACATCATACGAGGCACAGGAAAGTCCCCTAGAACAAAGAATTATTCTACCCAAAATGTCAATAGTGCTGAGCTTGAAAAACCCTATTTTAAACCATGGTTAGATGATTGGACTGTCATAGTAGAAGTAACAACAGTTCTGTAATTTTTATGAATAAGCTTTTCATTAAGATGTTTTAAAAATGAGGAAGTTTCTGTAGTCAGAACAATTTCAGTGTGTTGGTTGGGGTAAAATTCATAGTGATCCAAGGAAGTTTTAGCCAATATGATCTATAGCACAATGCTCGATGCATGTAAGTTTTTCAAGCTTATATAAAAAAGAAAATGTTAGAAACCTGGAGTAGAAAGTTCAGTGGCTCCAAAGTACAAAAGCTAAACTGCAAAAATTAAACTTAATAAATGTCCAAGTATATGTCTACAAGGTAACTGATTAACTTGGCACTTGCAGTATAATTCAGTTCTCACATGCGCACACTCAAATTGTATTTGTTGTGGGATGTT